TAGCAGTAGCAGTAGCAGGAGCAGGAGCAGTAGCAGTAGCAGTAGCAGTAGCAGTAGCAGTAGTAGTAGTAGTAGTAGTAGTAGTAGTAGTAGTAGTAGTAGTAGTAGTAGTAGTAGCAGTAGTAGCTTAAATTTAGACTAGAAGGGGCACCCTTTGAATTACTCGGTTCCTCTGAGGTCTAGTAATCTTTTTGAGGACGGGGGATTCAAAATGAGGGAAGAAAAATCTTGCAGCGACAGGGTCGGTTGCAAGAGAAACGCAAATAACCAGAAGGCTCGCAGGGGGGTCTTGCCATGTGGGTTTGGGTACCTTACATTCGTTGAGGTTTTACGGTACCCTGGATATCTTGAATTTTAGGGAGAACAAAAAAGGGTTTCGACGTTTAGGGTTTCGGGAGGGCTTCGCAATTTTCGACTCCCAAACCCTAACTCCAGGGTTTAGGGTTTAAGGTTTGGGGTTTAGTGTTTAGGGTTTAGGGTGAAGTGGTCCCCCCTAAAAAAGAAACACAATCTGGCTTGGGGTGGTAGGGCTGAGCATCTCAATACATGGCGCTGCCCTGAAGCCCAAGCCTTCCTAAATCCCAAGGCCTAAACCCTAAACCCGTCGGCATGGTGGCATGATGATGTGGTGTGGGGAGGTCCTGAAGTTGGAGGGGAAGGTCGTCCATGTTTGTTTCACGTCTGGAGAACGCTGACGTTCCGCCCGAAAAAGGTGATTCCAGTAAAACAAAAACCCTAAACCCGAAACCCCAAACCCTTAACCCTGAACCCTTGTCCCTAAACTCTAAAATGCTATAAGCCGTACTCGCCTGGCGCAGGCTTCTCGATGACATGGGCTGCCGAACCATCGAGAGCAACCTTGCAGAAAGATGGTTTGGGGTTCATTGTGTAGGGTTTGGGGTTTCGGGTTTAGGGTTCAGAGTGTAGGGTTCAGAGTGTAGGGTTTAGGGTTTGGAGTTCAGGGTTTCAGGCTCAGTGTTTAGGTCTTTGTACCCCAAACCCACTAAACCCTGCAAGAAATGGTGGGCTTGTTTCGTTGCAAGCCACTGGTTCATGTTAGTTCACGGCTGTGGGGTTTTGGTCATTGCTTTGGTCGAGCCCTAAACCCCTGAACCGTCTTCGTTGCAATAGCAACAGCCATCAGCAACATAACAGTGGCACAAGAACAACACATAAACATAGTCATGATAATAGAAAAAAGAATGATATGAGGGTTTGCGACAATAAGGGCCTACATAAACCCCCAAATAGTAGAATTCCCTTATGATCAGGACCCTGCCCCTAATCTCGTAAACCCCCATATAGCAATAGTGTGCATAATCCTCACAATCAAGCTAGTAGCCCGCAGCATTGAAAGGTGCTCAAATCTGCTCCAGGAGCCTCCCTTGTCCCTGGGGGTGAGCTTCGTAAGATTGCTTCGATGTGGCATACTGGATGTTCATGGGTAGTTATAAGAAGAGTTCTAAGTATGAGAACTGTCATGATTCCCCTCTTTAGGATACTTCCCCTCTTTAGGATACTTATAACAAACTACTTACAGCTACCCATGAACCTCCAAGTACAGACACTCTGTGTGTGTGTGTCCTTTTTGGATGCAATTTCGGGGATGCAGGGAACCTTAGACCCAAAACCCTAAACCCTAAACCCTAGACCCAAACCTTGGCCTCCAAGGGAGTCCGGAAGCACAGAAGCCACGGGGGTTTGGTACATACACGGGCAGGCTCACGGCACCGCTGGGATGCAGCCCTATTCTGTTTCAGCACCGATAAACCCTAAACCCTAAACCCTAAACCCGAAACCCGAAACCGTAAACCCTAAACCCTAAACCCTAAACCCTAAACCCTAAAGCCTAAACCCTAAACCCGCCCACCACCCCTTTCATTCTAGGAGGTGAGTGGGCGCAGTCGAGCGCTCAGCGAGACCACGCAGGCCCGATCCAGGCTGATCGGGCCTGCAGGCACACACCTGAAAGGGTCGCCAAGCTAGAGTCGCCTAGCTCAGGGACAAAAGATATTTTATTACCCTAAACCTCAGGGGGGGCATCCTTTAATCCGAGCTCTTGTTTAATTGGGGGGGGGGCCCCCCCGCCCCCCCCCCCCCCCCCCCCCCCCCCCCCCCCCCCCCCCCACAATAAGGAATGCAGGGTTCCGCAATAGTTGGACCATGGCGCTGTATTGATTCTCCATTAAAAACAACAAGAGTGCAGATGTTTCACAGATCGAAATTGCAGGTCCGAAGACACAAAAAAGGCCTACGATCAGATTTTGCAAGCCCCCCCAAAAAATTACTTGAAATGTGGGGGGGGGTTATGTCCATACCAAATCCACCGTAATGGAAAGTAGTCTTCCGACGGGCTTCCGGAGAAAACAAAATCTTTAAAAAAGGGGGTTTAATTAAACAGGTGCTCGGATTACAATTTACAACCCTGGCCGGCCAACCTTGCCGACTGCCCTGCACCCGCCTGGCCTGACCCCTCTGCCTGGAGAGGCCATGAATGCAGCCCAGGCCACCCTGCCACCCTGCGATCCCTGGCCGCCCTGGCCGGCCGCCCTGCCTGCCCTGCTTGACCGCCCTAACTGCCCTGACACCCTGGCCGCCGCTGCCCCCTGTCTGGAGAGGCCCAGTGGCAGGCCTATGGATGAGCACCCCGCCCAGATCAACAGCTGTCCTGTTTAAGAACCCACCATGACTGCAAAGCAAACTCAAGGCAAAGCCCTCCAGATTTTTCTATGAGAGGGCCCTTCGGCCCAGACCGTCCCTTGCGCAAAACCCCACAACCCCCCTCCTTCCCTGTAAAAACTTTTCGCGCCCTGAATTTTCTATGAGAGGGCTCTTGCTCCGAGGGAGTACTCATGCCCCGGAATTTTCTATGAAAGGGCCTGTGCCGCCACGGCTTCGGCGTCCCCTAAAATGTGTCACGTGGGAATTTTGAATGGCTTCGGCTTGGTTTGGGCTGGCTCCGGGTTGGTTCGCAGTGAGTAGTGTTTGGGTGGCTTTGGGGTGGGCATGTCTTCATACCATTGCGTTCAGCTGACCGATGCTACACCCTAAGCCCTAAGCCCTAAGCCCTAAGCCCTAAGCCCTAAGCCCTAAACCCTAAACCCTAAACCCTAAACCCTAAACCCTAAACCCTAAACCCTAAGGTTCCCGCGGGCTTCCGCACTCTCAAAGTCCGCCGCAGGCAACTTGATCGCCCACTGCGCGGCGATCTCGGGCAGTGAGAAGGGCCGACAATGGAAGGCAGCTTTGACGTGTGCGCAGGGTTTCGGGCCGTGGGTAGACTCCGACGCCGATCCCACACCCACAAGCCACCATCTTCCCGGCCTAAACCCTACACCCTACACCCGACACCCTGAACCCTACACCCTACACCCCAACCCTAAACCCTAAACCCTAAACCCTAAACCCCAAACCCCAAACCCCAAACCCTCAACCCTCAACCCTCAACCCTCAACCCTCAACCCTCAACCCTCAACCCTCAACCCTCAACCCTCAACCCTCAACCCTCAACCTCAACCCTCAACCCTAAACCCTAGACCCTAGACCCGAAACCCTAAACCCTTAACCCTAAACCCTAAACCCTAAACCCTAAACCCTAAACCCTAAACCCTAAACCCTAAACCCTAAACCCTAAACCCTAAACCCTGACCCAAAGCCGAACATGAATCCGAGCACCCATCAATGCTCCTGTACCTCTGAATGCTTCAGGGTTCAGGGTTGAAGGCTTCTGGGTTCGAAGTGTTTCGGCCTCCGAGATGGTCCTGGAGCCCTCCTCGCCACAATCACTCTCAACTGGGCCCTTTTTTTCGGAAGCTACTATTTCTTGCCCACCCCTGTTACGGTAGCTTGGTTCAAGTTCTTAGGACAGCTTACTGGGTTGCTGTTCAAGTTCCTTAGGGCCCTTGTACTGTATGGTATAGCTTTCGAAAGGTTGCCCAACCCTAAGACCCTAAACCCTAAGACACTAAGACCCTAAACCCTGAGACCCTAAGCCCCAAAGCACGAAGGCACTAGAGAAAAACCACGAATTGCTTTAGGACCCCGCCCCCTCCCCCATACATAACAATGTTCCTTATAAGGGCAATAGTGGGATTAACATTTTACATATTTTTGGGGTTCTTAAACAAATAGTAGCAAAGAGGTGGCGCTGGCGCTGCTCGCCGCCTGGGGACGGCGGCGCCTCCCTTTGCAGGCACCTTTGTGAAGGTTTAGAGTGCTTAGGGTGTGTGGGGTTCAGGGTTCAGGGTTTAGGGTTATGGTTTACGGATCAGGGTTTAGGGTTTTTGGGGGACTTGGGCGTAGGGGCTCTTCAGGGGCTTTAGACCGTTTTTGCATGTCAGGCTTGGGGTTCAGTCCATGTGTAGCTATAGGTAGGGTTAGATGTACCCCTCCCCCCCTGCCTGTACACCTTAAGCCACCTTCTCGCAACACCACCGCGCTCTCAGCCACCCTAAACCTCAAACCCTAAGCCTCAAGCCCGAAAAGCATATCCAAGAAAGGAAAAACGGGTTCTCTGCTTTGAGGGGTGCGGGTGTGACTAGGGTTCAAGGGTTTCAGGAGGAATTCGGGATTCAGGGGTTAGTGTTTATGGTTTCGGGTTCGTAGGTGTCTGGAGGAAAAAAGCTCGCTAGCTCCACAAAGACCAAAACAGTTGCTCACGGTGCAGGCGGGGTTTCAAGCAAAGGCGTTCCCTGACCAATTTGCTGGAGTTCTTTCTTGAACCCTAGGGTTTAGGGGCAATTGAGAGCAAGTCCCTAAACCCTGGGGTTTGGGCTGGCTCTCCGTAGCAATAGCTGCCTTTGGCTTGTACGGGGTGCTACGATTTCAGGGTCTTAGGGGTTTGTGGAGTTTTAGGGTTTCGGGATTTTTGGGTTCAGGGTTCTTGGAGTTTAGGGTTTTGGGTTTCAGGGCGTTGGGGTGTTTACAACTTGAGGGTGTTAGGGTTCAGGGTCCCCCTGGAAAGTCTCTTAGGTGGAGAAGTCATACCTAAACGGGAGCACATCAACCCTATGAATAACGAGGAATCCAATCTTGGGGGGGGGGGGTATATTGAGATACCCATGCGCCCCTGCTTTCTGCTGCTTTCTCTGCCAGATGGGTGGGGACTCAAGGGCACAGAATCAATGCACTCTCAGAAACTACCGAACCCAAGCAGCACCCTAAAGAAACCCCAGCCCTACACCCTAAACTTGGCAGGCGAAAAGCGTAGTCGCGTACAGCGCGGCTATGGCCGCCCTCATCCACGCCGGACGTTGGATGCAGGCACGGGCGCCGTGGGTTTCTTGGTGGGGCGTCTTGTAGGTTTAGCGTTTAGGGTTTAGGGTTTCGGGTTTAGGGTTTAGGGATTAGGGTTTAGGGTTTAGGGTGGATTAGTGAGGTAAGCCCGGGCCCTAAGCCAGTCTGGACTTAGGTGTGTCTGTTCTGAGATATGGGTGTCCGACATGCTTCTTCTTCTTCTGATGCCATCTATGTAAGGCTCCGCAAGTGTGGAATGCCTAAAGACCTGGAGTTCTCAACCCTAAGACCCTTCGATTAGGATTCGCAGTTTCGGGCTTGGGCTACATCCTTGCTAGTGTGGCCACCCACTATCAGGGCTAGCCTTCACTGGAGGTGCAGAGTCCGAAGCCGGAACATCAGCACGCGCCATAAACCCTAAGCCTTAATTTCCTAGACATGCCCGGGAACCCTCTCTTTCTCCGTGCTTGTAAGAGAAAAATATGAGAATAGCAGCAGATCATACCACAAAATCTCCCCCCCCCCCCCAAGCTCACGCAGCACCACCACCTCCTCAAACAAGGGGTACTTTGCCAAGCCCATTCTGAGTCAAATTCTGAGGTAGTTCATATTCAGGTTGAGGAGGGTACTCTCGGCGGAGCCAAACCAGAACTGCCCCAATGCCCGAAAGCCTCAAAAACCGTAAACCCCAAGCCCTAAACCCTAAACCCTAAACCCGAAACCCTAAACCCCTAACCTAAACCCTAAACCCTAAACCCTAAACCCTAAACCCTAAACCCTAAACCCTAAACCCTAAAACCCTAAACCCTAACCCTAAACCCTAAACCCTAAACCCTAAACCTAAACCCTAAACCCTAAACCCTAAACCCTAAACCCTAAACCCTAAACCCTAAACCCTAAACCCTAAACCCTAAACCCTAAAAAACCCCCTAAACCCTAAACCCTAAACCCTAAACCCTAAACCCTAAACCCTAAACCCTAAACCTAAACCCTGAAACCCCCTAAACCCTGAACCAAACCTGAACCTCAAGTCGAAGGCCTTGGCGCTTCTCTCGGAGGCGCGCAGTGGGCGACTGCAAGGCCAGTATCGGGGATCAGGGGCTTTAGAGTTTTGAGGGTTCAGGGGAATAGGGTTTAGGGTTTGGGGTTTGGGGTTTGGGTTGGAGTTTGGGGTTTGGGGTTTGGGGGTTTTTGAGGGTTTAGGCTTCCAAGAAGTGGGGGGGGGGGGGGGGGGGGGGGGGGGGGGTGGTTAGCGCGTCAAGGCTTGCTCTGCTAGGTGATTTTGGCGCAGTTTGGTGATCCAAAACCCTCAGCCCTAGACACTAAACTCCTAAACCTAGGTTGAGGGTTAGTTAGGGTTGAGGGTTTTGGAGCATAGCCCTAAAAAAACCCTAAACCCTAAACCCTAAACCCGAAACCCGAAACCCTAAACCCTAAACCCTAAACCCTAAGCCCTAAGCCCTAAGCCCTAAGCCCTAAGCCCTAAGCCCTGAACCCTAAACCCTAAACCCTAAACCCTAAACCCTAAACCCTAAACCCTAAACCCTAAACCCTAAACGCAGGCAAGTTTAAGTCATCCCCGAAGCCCAGGGAGGAGGGTCTCCCCTGTGGGATGGTGAAGGATACGGAGGGCTTAGGGTTTAGGGTTTAGGGTTTAGGGTTTAGGGTTTAGGGTTTAGGGTTTAGGGTTCAGGGTTTAGGGTTTAGGCATCGGGGTTGAGGGTTCCAAGAAATCCTCCTCTTGCTGACCCTGAAACCTTTAATAGGCTCCTCTTCTCCGACTCCTCTCCATCAAGAGTCTGGCATTGGTTTGAGACAGATTTCAAGGTTTAGGGTTTAGGGTTTAGGGTTTAGGGTTTCTGCTTAAGGATCCGGGGGGACTTAGTATGTAGGGTTGTAATTAGGGCAACTATAGTTACAATTACTTATACACCTAGTTGGGGTGCTTATGAGAATCCGAATTTGGCGAGACTCTGAAAGAGTCTCCGTGCGGCATGACTCAGATGTGTCGCAACTTTCATACAACATTTGGGGCTCATTAGGGTTTAGGGTTTAGGGTTTAGGGTTTAGGGTTTAGGGTTTAGGGTTTAGGGTTTAGGGTTTAGGGTTTAGGGTTTAGGGTTTAGGGGCCGGCATAGTGGTGGAAGTTTCGGGTTCAGGGTCTAGGCCGCCTAAACCCCTTGACTCGACTTGGGGGGGGGGGGGGGGGGGGGGGGGGGGGGGGGGTGCAAGGCTCTGAGTGTGTTGTGCAAGGTTCAAGGTTCTTCGTGCTTGCCCCGAATGGGCCCCGAATTTCTGGGAAATTTCTCGGTGCTGGGGGTCTGCGGGGGGAGGTAACATGCGGTATTTGTGTCGTTTGATTTGAGTGAGTGCTTGGGGAACTTGGGGCGTCTACTATATTGGGATTCGGGATGGCTGATGTCAGTCTGTTGCATTCCGCTGCCGTGCTGGCCGTGCTGGCTAGCGGTATCACAGCCTTTCCTGCCATTCCTCGTCCTCATCTCTGACTCCTCAGTGCCATGTTTCGGGCTATGCTGCATATGCTCTCGAGTCTCTCGAGCCTTTGGTGCTCGCGCAGAGCCTCGCTCTTGGAGCCCCGAGCGCATCCAGGAGGGGCAGGAGATGCCAGCGCGGCCACACCGAAACCCCGGCCAAGCAGACGAAACCTACCGCCAGTCCCACCCTATTTACTAAGTCCCATGATCCTCCCAAGTATGGGCCTTGCATAATCCTACATAGCACTATCAATCTCGTAGAAGTTTGATGTTCTTCGGCCCCCCCCCCCCCCGCAAAGTGCTCTTCCTCCTGCTTTGGGGTGCCTGAGAGGGTCTTGTTTTTTTTTGAAACACACCCCCAAACCCCCAAACCCTCCTTAAACCCTGTTGCAGTGAGCCTCATCACCTACAGCACGGCCATCTCCGCTTGCGAGCAGGGCTCGCAGTGGCCGCAGGCCGTTTTAAAGGGCTAAAGGCGAAAGGGGGGCCCTCCAAATACCCTAGAAGCCAGAATCCTAGTCTAAATCTTACACCCGAAAACCTAAACCCTGAGTTGAGTGAGTTTGGGTAGGTAAGAACTGTGGCAATTTTTCCGTCTTCTCTTTCTGTTGGATCGTAGGGAGTGACCGTTGATGGGTTCTCCACGGCTGTGCGTTGGGCTTGGAGTCGAACCCTTAATCCTGCTTTAGGGTCTTAGGCTAAGGGCCTTAAGGGCTCAGAACTTTAGAAGTTAAGATGGTGGGGTTCGGAGGTGAGGAGCTGAGGGTGTTTTCGGTCAGGGAGTGTAGGGGCTTAGGTTTTGAAGCTTAAGGTCTTTGGGTCGAGGGCCTTGGGGCTCTTGCAAGAGTGAGGCACGACATATTCACTGCAAGGGGCTTTAGGGTTTAGGGTTTAGGGTTTAGGGTTTAGGGTTTAGGGTTTAGGGTTTAGGGTTTAGGGTTTAGGGTGTATCTCTTTCCCTAAGGGTCCATGGATGTTAAGAAATATTCAACATACCCCTTGGACATACCCTTAAAAGAAATCAAGGGGTGTGGCAACATCCTCCCTTAGACTCCCTTGTAATTTCCTCTTATCTGTTAGGGGGTATGGGTTTGGGGTGTGGTGAATCCTTCTTGGATACTGGGGCCTTGCGGTGCGCGTGAGCGCGCAGCTACCGTACAAGTGCTGGCCCAGGTACCCTACACCCTACTATACTCTACTCTAAACTTTACACCCTAATTAAACCCTAAACACGCCCCAAACCCTAAACCCAACAAGCCCTAAACCCCAAACCCGAAACCCTGAACCCAAAAAGCCCTAAACCCTAACCCCCCCCCAAAAAACCTCAAAGCCTCTAGCCCTACACTCAAGACCATCCGAACCCCTCAACTCTGTACCTGAAGCCTCCAGGCATTGGCACTGCTCGATGAGATGAGAGGAGCGAACCAACCTTGGTGCCTCTGGGGGATCGAAGCCATGGAAAGGTGAAGGGTTTAAGGGTTTAAGGGTTTGAGGGTTTGAGGGTTTGAGGGTTTGAGGGTTTGAGGGTTTGAGGGTTTGAGGGTTTGAGGGTTTGAGGGTTTGAGGGTTTGAGGGTTTGAGGGTTTGAGGGTTTGACAATTTGAGGGTTTGAGGGTTTGAGGGTTTGAGGGTTTGACAATTTGAGGGTTTGAGGGTTTGAGGGTTTGAGGGTTTGAGGGTTTGAGGGACTTGAGGGACTTGAGGGACTTGAGGTACTTGAGAGATTTAAGGGCTTAAGGGTTGAGGGATATTAGGACTTGAGGTGTAAGGGGTGTAAGGGTTTAAGGTTTATGGGCTTCTGATGTTTTGATAGCTGGCTAAGCTTCAAAAAAAACCCTTCCCGATCACCAAGGATTGCTCCCTAAACCCTAAACCCTAAACCCTAAACCCTAAACCCAAACCCTAAACCCTAAACCCTAAACCTTAAAACCCTAAACCCTAAACCCTAAACCCTAAACCCTAAACCCTAAACCCTAAACCCTAAACCCTAAACCCTAAACCCTAAACCCTAAACCCTAAACCCTAGAAACCCTAAGCCCTAAACCCTAAATCCCTACTTCCCCACGGCTTTTGATTCAAGAAGGGCCCTGTGACGGTTAGGCCCCTCAGCCTTGAGAACCCCCAACTCGGTCTGTGCTTGCTGCTCTCCCCCCCCCAGGATGGCTCCACTCGTTTTCGGGGGTTTAGGGTTTAGGGTTTAGGGTTTAGGGTTTAGGGTTTAGGGTGTAGGGTTTAGGGTGTAGGGTTTAGGGCTGGGGTTTACGGTGTAAGTCTTAGGGTTCAGGATGGGTCTTCTTGAGCCTACCCTTTGAACCTGGAGCCACAAACTCCACATCGCATTTCACACACGAACGTGTGTCGGAAGCGGCTTTGTCCTGGCTGCCCCCCCTCCATATTACCCCCCCCCACCCCCTAGGTTGCCCCCCTAATTAAGGCAATTTAGGGATAATGAAGCCTAATTAAGGCCATTTAGGGATAGTTAAGGGCCTAAACCCTAAACCCTAAACCCTAAACCCTAAACCCTAAACCCTAAACCCTAAACCCTAAACCCTAAACCCTAAACCCTAAACCCTAAACCCTACTAAACCCTAAACCCTAAACCCTAAACCCTAAACCCTAAACCCTAAACCCTAAACCCATAATTAAGGTCATTTAAGCAGGATCCCGGCTGCCCCCGGACATCGCCAGCTACAGCGCGGCCATCAGCGCCTGCGCGCACGAGCGGCTTGGCTGCGTGACGGGCGGTTCCCTCAACCCTAAACCTTAAACCCCAGACCCTAAACCCTAGCCCTAAACCCTAAACCCCAAACCCAAAACCCTAAACCCTAGCCCGAAACCTTCCAAAACCCGGCAGGTGAAAAGCCGCAAGTAAGCTCCCGACCTTGTTAGCCTTAGTGCCCCCCCACAGCCTAGAGAAGTTTCCTAGCGCCCCCCCAACAAAGAACGCTGCAACACAAGGCTGCCCTAACCCTGAACCCTGAACCCTAAACCCTAAACCCTAAACCCTAAACCCTAAACCCCAAAACCCCAAAACCCCAAAACCCCAAAACCCCAAAACCCCCGAACCCCAAACCCCAAACCCTAAACCCCAAACCCTAAACCCTAAACCCTAAACCCCAGGGGTGCTTCAAAGGCACCCAGAGTGCAGGTGGCAGCGAGCTCTCCTCCTCTTCGCGGAGATGCAATCCAACAGCACCTTGGAGGGGGTTTAGGGTTTAGGGTTTAGGGTTTAGGGTTTAGGGTTTAGGGTTTAGGGTTTAGGGTTTAGGGTTTAGGGCTTAGGAGTTCAGGGTTCAGGGTTTAGGGTTTTAGGCTTTTAGGGTTTATGGTTTTAAGAATTAGGGATTAGGGTTAGGGTCCTGAACCGTAAGCCCTTAATAAAGGGGTACAGCATCTCTCGGGCTTAAGCCTAAACCCCTGCAACCTTGCATCTAGAGAAGGGTTTAGGCCTTGGGGTCTTAGGGTTGAGGGTTGAGGGACCCCAAACCCTAAACCCTGAACCCTAAACCCTTAAACCTAAACCCTTAACCCCAACCCTAAACCCTAAACCCTAAACCCTCAACCCTAAACCAGGGTTTAGGATTTAGGGTTATCAACCTCTGGGCTGTTCTTTGTTCTTAGCAGGGCAATGTGGGAGTTGGGGGTCACTCACACATCCCCTTAGAAGGGGGGGAATACCAGCTCCCCAATTACTATTCTGGGCTCTGGTGAAGGGAGCCTAAAGCTAGGCCAGAAAATGTGGCACTACGCGGTATATTCTACCACCCTAGGAAAGTTGCCTTAATCTAGGTCCCTGAAACACGAGCGCAGATTCCACCCTAAACCACCAAACCCTAAACCCTAACCCCTTAACTCAACCCTAAGCCCTAAACCCTAAACTCTAAAAACCCAAAACCTAAAAACCCCAATCCCTAAGCCCTTAACCCTAAGCACTAAACCCAAACCCTAAACACCCTAAACCCAAAAAGAACAAAAAGCCCTAAAAACCCCCAAACGCCCTAAAAAACCCTAAAGACCCTAAACACCCTCAACAAAACCAACCCCAAACCCTAAAAACCCTAAAAAACCCTAAAGACCCTAAAAGCCCCTAAACGCCCTAATCCCCAAACCCTCACCAAGAAGGTCTGGAGTCGGACTCGATCGCCTTCTTGGCAGTGCTCGACGCCTGTGAAAATGCTCCCTTGACCAGCACCTAGAAACCGGCTTGGGGTTCAGGGTTGAGGGTTGAGGATTTAGGGTTTAGGGTTTAGGGTTTAGAGTTGAGAGTTTAGGGCTTAGGGTTTAGTGTTAGCCCAGATAGGGTAGGCCCGTGCGACGTTTCATATGTTGCCTCATTGGGATTTAAGAAGATCATAATTTGGAATTTTTTCAGAGGGTTTGTAGGGCTGTAGAGACTGCCCGGCATCTTTGGGATTGGCTGTTGGGGTCCCAAACCCCAAACCCCAAGCCCCACATTGCTTGTCCGTGCCGTAAAGGGCGACTCACCTGTTCACCCTACTAGTAGCGTTAGCACCCCCTTAGATGACACACCCCAAAGTGAAGTATAGCTTGGCTGTTCAGCAGCTGAGAGTGGGTGCCTTCTGGGTCTTTCCTCCGCTTCTGTTGCCCAGAAGGGGTACATCGCGAAACAACCTTACACTGACACCCTCCAATATAAACCCCAAACCCCATATAATATATATATATATATATACGTATATATGTATATATATATTTATTTATTTATTTATTTGTTTATATTTATAGTGCTTGTGTGGTGCAGCGGCGCGGCTTACACTCCCAATCCCACTCGCCAGTGTTTGCCGGAGCCGTGGCTGGAGTCCCGAGCCCGAAAGTGTGAAGTCTGTAGAAGCCCTTCTCAGTCCTGCAGGCTGGGCACCATAAGGCTATAAATCCCCCTTGGGAATTCTTTTTTTAGTTTTGTTTATCTAAAGCCCAAGAGCATAGGAAGAATATTATGTCTAATTATGGTCAAAAAGGGGAGTATAAAAGGCCCTGGGCACCCTAAGGCCCTTTTAACCGCTGAAGAAGGCAAAGGACACCTCCGGAGCCGCCCGCACCCCGAACCCGAAGCTGCCAGAACCCTAGACCCTGAGCCTTGGGGATGTTCCTCCTTATACGAGCAGTCCGTAACAGGGATTCTAGTACCCCCCCCCCTAGTATAATCCCTACTAAGGGGCTGTTAGTTTTTTTTAAGGGGAAACATCCCCTAAACCCTAAACCCTAAACCCTGAACCCTGAACCCTGAACCCTGAGCCCTGAGCCCTGAGCCCTGAACCCTGAACCCTGAACCCTGAACCCTGAACCCTGAACCCTGAACCCTGAACCCTACCAGAAACCCAACCTGAGCCGTTTCTTCGCCTTGAGCCTAGGAGTTCCAGTGGCGCCTGGCTCTGTGCCTGCTGGCCGACCTGGAGCAGCAAGGCTTGCAAGGCCTCGGGGGGGGGGGGCGCTATGCCACGGGTTTGCGGCCACAGCACATCCTGGCCACAACTTCGGGTTTGGGGTTTGGGGTTTGGGGTTTGGGGTTTAGGGTTTAGGGTTTAGGGTTTAGGGCTTAGGGTTTAGGGTTTAGGGTTTAGGGTTTAACAAGCGAGAGAGGGTGAGAGAGAGAGAGAGATGAGAGAGAGGAAGAAAGAGCAATACAGCAGGGAAGGCAAAGAAAGAAAGGCAGAACGAAGCAAAGAGCAACTAGCAGAGAAAGACATGACGAATGACAGAACGAAAGAAAGAAGTACCGAAAGCAACAAAGAAAGAACGAGATAAATCAACAAATGCTTAAACATGAACTCAAGAAAGAAACTGCCACCGGACGGAAGAACTAAGGGGAAACCAAGCATATACAGAAGTACGCAATCGTACGTACAAATGTAAAGGAACGCGTTACGAACGAATCAACATAGCTGAAGAACTAAGCTCGCAAATTCAGCAAAACGGCAAGGAAATTAACAAAGAAAGACAAACAATAAAGAGATCAACGACACAAAGCAATCAATCAAGAGGCAGCATAGCAACAATGACAGTGCGCCTGTACCAGGTTAGCAGAGGAAGCACCGTAACACCCTGAAGCCCTAAGCCCTGTATCCCAAACCCTAAACCGCAAGCCCTAAACCAAGATCCAACTGAAAATCTGATGCTGAGAGGGTCGGTACCGATCTATAGCTCCGTCATCACATCGCTGGAGAAGATCGGGCGGCTTTGGCCGAACTGGTTGCTTCCGGTAGGGAATTTAGGGTTTTGGGAAACCTAAACCCAAAACCCTGAACCCTAAACCCGAAACCCTAAACCCTAAACCCCAACACCGCATAGGGCTTCAGGGTTTCTTGCGCTTGGGCTTTCTCAGGGCCTCAGGGTGCAGGTCTTCGATGGCTGCAGGGCGCATGTTCCTGGCCGACTCCCCATTAAGAATGGGCTTTTGAGACCTCAGCCCTACCCTAAACCCTAAACCCTAGACCCTAAACCCTCAACCCTAAACCCTAAACCCTAAACCCCAAACCCGAAACCCCAAACCCGAAACCCTAAACCCTAAACCCTCAACTCTAAACCCTAAACTCCAAACCTAAATGGGCTGTTGAGGCTAAGGCCTCCAGGGCAAAAGGGTTGAGGCCCAGGCTGCGAGATTGAGGTCTCGATAAGGCTCCACGATGACTTAACCGATTAGGGTTTAGGGTTTAGGGTTTAGGGTTTAGGGTTTAGGGTTTAGGGTTCAGGAGCTAAGGAGTTGAGGGGTTAAGGAGTTGAGGGGTTAAAACACTTAACCGATTAGGGCTTAGGGTTGAGGAGTTAAGGAGTTGAGGGGTTAAAACACCTAACCGATTAGGGCTTAGGGTTGAGGAGTTAAGGAGTTGAGGGGTTGAAGGTTCGAACGTTTGTCAAGGTTGAAGGTTAGAACGGTTATTAAGGGTTGAGGGTTTTTAAGGGTTGAAGGGTTGAAGGGTTGAGGAGTTGAAGAGTTGAAAGGTTTAGGGTTCATCTAGGGTTTAGGGTTTCGAGATTATGCCCCTGTGCATGGTACCGAGGTTTGCAAACCCAGCTGGGTTTGCAACCCGGCGTCATGAGTTCTGAGGTTAGGACGCGCAACTGCGTGCCAGAAGCCGCAAAGGAGAAAACCTCTCCAGGCCTGAGCATGTTGATTTGCCCCTAAATTAAAGAACCAGAAGCCCCAAAACCCCAAACCCAAACCCTCAACCCTAGGGGGTGGTTAAGGGTTCTGACGATGCAAGGCGGAGTCCGGGAGACATTTCTTTTTTTGGTCTCGGTCCTGTACATCACAGGAGACCTCTGATCCCCGAACCCCAAACCCTAAACCCTAAATCCCAAACCCTAAACCCCCATGCACGGCCCAGGAATTGGCGTGCGGCCCTTTCATTGCTGACCCGCTGCGTCTTTGCAGCACTGGTGATCCCGTGCGGCATTCTTTGATCAAGGGTGTTTAGTTTTTGGGAGGGGTTGTAACCCCCGGAAAGAAGCTTTATCTTGCAATTCCCCCGGAAAGGCCCTACGTAACCTTTTCCAGAAGTAGTCAGCAGGATACAACTCACAAGGTCCCCCGGGAGCATGTCAAGCTTTCGAGTCCGGCGAAAATTTGCCGAGGTAATTTTCTAATCGAAGATAATCCTAAGCCACAGCCGAAATCTGTGCGGTCTGGGTTTTGCGGTTTAGGGTCGAGAGGGGGGCCTAAACCCTAAACCCTAAACCCCAAACCCCAAGCCCTAAACCCTAAACCCTAAACCCTAAACCCTAAACCCTAAACCCCAAACATGATTACAGCTGGGGTGTCTCCGGTCCTATCACGGCTCAGGACTCTCTGCGAGGCACGGGGCCTTAGGGCTCAGGGCTCTTGCAACCCAAGGGCATCTTCGCGATCCCCCGCATGCCATGGAACCCAAAATCCTAAACCCTATATGCCCCAAGCCGCAGCCTAAACCCTAAGCCCTAAACCCTAAACCCTAAACCCTGAACCCTGAACCCCAAACCCTAAACCCTAAAACCTAAACCCTAAAACCTAAACCCTACACCCTAAACCCTACACCAACCCTGCACCCTAAGCCTGAAGCCCCAAGCCCCAAACCCCCAGGTGATCAGCAGTACCTCTCCGCCGACCTCATCATCCAGAACGTGTCAGCCCAAGGAGTCCAGGAGCTGGGGGTGCCCTAGACCCTAAACCCTAAACCCTAAACCCTCAACCCTCAACCCTCAACCCTCAACCCTCAACCCTCAACCCTAAACCCCAAACCCCAAACCCCAAACCCCAAACCCCAAACCCCAAACCCTAAACCCTAAACCCCCAAACCCTTAAACTTAAACCCCAAACCCTACACCTTTGTCCTTAGGCCCTAAACTCCCCGAACTCCGAACCCTTAGAACCTGGGGGGCTTGGAAGGGCTTTAAGGGCCTCTAAGAGGGGCCGCTAGGCGTTTCAACGCCTTTGAAGGTACTGAACTTTGTTTTTAGGGTTTAGGGTTTAGGGTTTAGGGTTTAGGGTTTAGGGTTTAGGGTTTAGGGTTTAGGGTTTAGGGTTTAGGGTTTAGGGTTTAGGGTTTAGCATGTATCCCTTGTCTTGAAAACACAAAACTATCGGGCTTGGGGTTTGTGGCATTGGGTGCTTGGGGCTTAGGGCTGGCTCTGGACATGCGTGACGGGTTTAGGGTTTAGGGTTTAGGGTGTAGGGTTTAGGGTTTAGGGTTTAGGGTTTAGGGTTTAGGAGAGGAGGGAAGGGGCTCCCAGGGTTCAACATCTCGCTCAACCTTGCCCACGGTCGACTCCTGGAGTTCCCTGTTAGGGTTTAGGGTCTAGGGTTGAGGGTTCAGGGGTTCAGGGGTTCAGGGGTTTAGGGGTTTAGGGTTTAGGGTTTAGGGTTTAGGGTTTAGGGTTTAGGGTTTAGGGTTTAGGGTTTAGGGTTTAGGGTTTAGGGGTTTAGGGGTTAGGGGTTCAGGGGTTCAGGGGTTCAGGGTTTAGGGGTTTAGGGGTTTAGGGGTTTAGGGGTTTAGGGGTTTAGGGGTGTAGGGGTTTAGGGGTTTAGGGGTGTAGGGGTTTAGGGGTTTAGGGGTTTCGGGGTTTAGGGGTTTAGGGGTTTAGGGGTTTAGGGGTTTAGGGGTTTAGGGGTTTAGGGGTTTAGGGGTTTAGGGGTTTAGGGGTTTAGGGGTTTAGGGTTTAGGGTCTAGGCCTCCAAGATGTCTTGAACTTGAGGACGCCGAGGAGCACCCTTGACCCGCACAAGGGCCTGCAGAAAGTAAGGGCAACATGACTCAGATGCCCCATGCTCGACGTTTCAAGCCTAGTGGCCTCTACGAGGTCTGTACAAAGCCCAGGATAAGAGACACTTGGGGACACTTGTCTCGCACATTTGCGAACGGCTATACGAGGCAACGTGATTGTAGCTTCCTCAGTTCAAAGTTAGCGCTACCCTTTGGTGAAGCCTAGGACCAAGAGTAGGCCCTTATTCCCTTCTTTGGGATCAGGTTCCCTATAAGCCCTTTTCAACTAAAAAGGGCACCCTTTGTATTCCAGGTTACTCTTTTGTCCCGACCCTGAGCTTGAATCGTGCCCAGGCGGCCCTTGGCGCATGCCAACTGCGTGGGGCCTGGGCGAAGGCCCTGCGCCTGGCGGCGGCGCTGGACACCAGGTGGGGTTTCCGAAATTTGGGGGACCTTATTGGGGTCCTTGTTTTCATAAGGGTTTCCTACTAGTTAGTGATCTATATTGGGGGGTCCATCTTTTCGTAAACCCCCAGGTTGCTTGGGAGTTGGTAGGGGGTTGGGGTTTAAGTTCAAGCCTTTCTGGACTGATGCGCTTAATGAGGGGAGCTGCAATGACTTTGCAGATTTCGGCTTGTTTCTTGATGGCAGCTGTGGGTCACCTCCTTGTTGTTAAGATGGCTCATTGCAACAATGTCACTTCATCTTATCCATATCCCAACTTTCCTCATATATATATATGTATTCATATATATATATATATGTATATATATATACGTGTATATATATATATGTGTATATAGATGTATACATATATATATATATATATATATACACATGTTGTTTTTGCTGTGAACCTTCCCCAGCGGTAAGCCACGTCTCGGATACATGACTGGGTGGGCCGCGCTGCGCACCTCCCACCCTTCTCTGGTGCTTCAGACTTCTTTGCATGCGTTGCGGTGCTAGTCGAAGGAATGCGTCAACGGACCATAGGCACTCGCTCTTGGCACCAGCATAGTGCCTCAGTGTCTCACATTGTACACGTACATATGGTCAGTTTCAGAAGGTTCTAAACCCTAAACCCTAAACCCTAAACCCTAAACCCTAAACCCTAAACCCTAAACCCTAAACCCTAAACCCTAAACCCTAAACCCAAATCACCAAGGCTAGAGCTTGTAGTTTGGCCCATGTGTAGGTCACTCTTCTCATTCGGGCCCTCTGACATAGGTTTCCTCCGATGGGACCAGCCTATGCAGGAGTGACCTACACACTGTAAAAAGCTAGGCTAAACCCTAAACCTTAAACCCTAAACCCGAAACACTCCGCTCTTAGTCCGACCGCGTGTCTAGCGGGTTGTTCTCATTTCCGGGTCCTCGGAGGAAACCCCTTTCAGAAGGTTCAACCCCCTTTCGCAGCTCAGGGTTTAGGGTGCCTTTTTGGGCCTCGGGTTTGAGGATTTAGGGTTGTAGGGCTTTGGGGGTGTAGGGAGTTGGGTGTTCAGCTGTTTTCGGGCCTCGCCGTCTGTAGCCCCATGACCCGGACGCAAACCTGCCCCTGCCCCCTCCAGCCCAGGACTTCTCGCATCCAAGTCGCCACACCCCAAATCCCAATTAAAATCCTCGGTCCTATACCCTTGTCAATTCATTAGACCCGAAAAACTCTCCCAACCCGAAACTCTGAGCCCTAGGCTCTGGACCCTCTCAACCCAAAATCCCAAAACGGCAGAAACCAACATTCGGATTGACAACGCTCGAGGCTTCCTTGTTGGAATCCTCATATCCTGCGCGGGGATCTAACTTACCCTAAATTCTAAGCCTAAACCCTAAACCCCAAACCCTAAATTTAAGAGCCTCCGGCTCAAGCCGCCGACCCCGCTGGAGCATAGTTGAATGGTTTAAACGCGCTCGTCAGCTCAAAGGATGCCAAAAGTTGATTTGCTTGAGCCTCTGTGAAACGTTGGGGGGGGCGGGTAGCACCAGGACCCAGAGGGGGGAGGGGGCTGGGTGGGTTATTTCCCAAAGGACCCCTATGTCCTGTGCGAAACCGCCTATGGTCCGTGAGTTTATGCGGTGTGGGTGGCCTGGCCCTCCATGGAAAAGCTGCCCGGTACCCCCCCCTACCCCCCCCCCCCCGTCCCCCGTTTCGGGGCGGACCCTAAACGCTAAACCCGCCTTTTGGCCAGGAAGCTCCAGGCAAACGTGCTGACCTTCGACAAAGCCGCTTGGGAGGAGCACGGCTCTGGCCCCAAGCCCCGATAGCCCCGGTTTAGGGTTTTGGGGTTTTAAGGTTTTAGGGTTTAGGGTTTAGGGTTTAGGGTTTAGGGTTTGGGTTTTGGGTTTTGGGTTTTGGGTTTGGGTTTAAGGGGAGTTGTATGGTCGAGTAGGGTCGCTTCATAGTCCCTTGCCTTCTTCAAGGGTTCTGAAGTATAGCCTCCCTTGATATATAAGGTGCTTATTGGAGGGCCCATACCAAGTGACCACGTAGCTACCCCAAGGTTTCGCGTTTTCACCGTTCGAAAGATAGCGGACACCTGTCATAAGAAAAAATCTTGGACGTAGGGAGCTGAGGTACATTTTCCCGTGAGCCCCTACTTGGAGGTTCATGGGTGGTCATACGTGAGGTTAGAAGTACCCGAAATAGGGTTACAAGTCTAGCTACCATAATTATAGCCTTATAAACCCTAAACCCTAAACCCTCAACCCCTAAACCCTAAACCCTACTTACTACTTACGGCTACCCCTGAACCTCCAAGCAACATGCTTCACTTAGTTGTAGAGTCGGTAACCTTTGACCTTTTTGGGGTCAATATAATCCCCTTATAATCCCAAAGGCTAACCTTTAGTTCCCTCTACTTGGAGGTTCATGGTACTTATTCACCAATTATAACTGTACTTATAACTATACTTATAACCATATTAGGGCACTTAAGGGGCTTATAAGTGGGTTATAAGTACGGTTATAATTGGTGAATAAGTACCATGAACCTCCAAGTAGGTACTGGACAACTAAGTTCAGGCCCTCAACGCCGCGGCGCTGGGCCTCCGCACGGTGGCTGCCGCGCCGATGCTTCACCGTGCCTTGGCCTCTTATTGTAAGAGTTATTTGGGGGTTTAGGGTGTAGGGTGTAGGGTGTAGGGTTTAGGGTTTAGGGTTTAGGGTTCAGGGGTTAGGCGTTAGGGTTTAGGGTTTAGTTGTTTTAAGGTTTTTTGGGCCAAAAAGGCCATGTTTTGCAAGGTGTTTGAGGCTATCTTAAGCCTAAGGGACAGGGTTCGTGGGTTTTAGGATTTCGGGTTGAGTAGGTCATTCTAACAAATCCCTTTACAGGATTCTTATGTCGCCTACGTGTTTCTAAAAGGGTTCGTAAGGAAAACAGGAAACCCCAATTGTTGCTTGCATTCGCGTGAGGGCGAGTTAAGGTGATTCTACGGTCAAAAGCAGCAACTGGCCTTGAGCTGGGAGGGGGTGGTACTGTTGCTCCAAAGTGCAGGGACAAGGCCAACTACGCTACGAAGCCCTGGACCCGAAACCCGAAACCTTAGAACCCCAAATGTCTAAAGCCCTAAAACCCTAAAAACAACAAAGCCTAGAACCCAAAATCCTAAGACCCTGAGCCCTAAACCCTAAATCCTAAACCCTAAATCGTAAACCCGATACCCTAAGCCCTAAACCCTTTATGCTACTCCTATGCCCGAACGTAAAACTCATCATACATCTCTCGGGCTGAGCGACGGGTTCAGTGATGGAGCCGAGCCCCTCCTTCCCTCCTTCCCCGCCACAAGCCACCTTCTGCCAGGGTTTAGGGCTTCGAGGGTTTAGGGTTTAGGGTTCAGGGTTCAGGGTTCAGGGTTTAGGGTTTAGGGTTTAGGCTGGAGTTTAGGGCGTTCAGGGTTTAGGGCGCTTAGGGTTCAGAGTTTAGGATTCAGGAAGCCGCTCAACAACCCCCAAGCTTCGCCCAACTCCGCCAACAAAATAGGTGCCTCAGACGCTGCCTGCGGGCGGCTCACCGAACTCCGTGGAGAAACAGCCCTTGAGCTTTTTTCGGATGGACATTTCCAAGAAATGGGGGGGTACCCCGTTATATACCCCAAATAGAATAGAATCCCCTGAAAGGGTCCCCTATTTTCGGAAACCCCTAAGTCCCGAACCTCGAAATACGATTGGGTGTTGGAGAATTCCGAGCAAAGCAAGGTAGACATTTTCGAGAAGCAAGTGAATGCAGATGTGGGTACATTGCTATGAATATTTGAGTGTATTCATGAGTGTATTTACAGACGGTTTATAATATATGTCAGACCATATGTGTATATAGAGAGAGAGAGAGAGTAAAGAATGTATGTTGGTTAGGCACGAAGGGTTCCCCCCATCTTTTGGGGGGGGGGGGGGGGGGGGAACTGTAAGGCCTCTTAATGGAAGACAAGAATGAAGTGAGCCATAGGGGATTTTCCAAAACATGGGTACCCCTAGTATAGCCTCAAAAAACTCATCCTCAATATGCGAACCCCCAACACAGGCACCCCTGTTTTCGGACCTCCCATATACGCGGCAACTATGAACATAGCCTGGTATGGCACCCATTTACTGCGGAAGACTGAATTTAACCTCATGTACTGCTCAGACTGAACTTAACGCCATGTATTGCCCAGAATGAACTCAATCCTCAGAAGTTCCCAAGAACGAACGGAATCCTGTCAATGAATGAGCGCAACCTTACTCATGACCCACGACTACTCTTGTGAATCAACTTCACCTTATGTCTTACCCAAAGAATGAAGTTACGTTTGAGTACATCGTGGCTTGACTGTAAACACAAAAACCCTAAGCCCTAAACCTAAACCCTAAGAACCCCAAGCCCTAAACCCTAAACCCTAAACCCTAAACCCTAAACCCTAAACCCTCAACCCTAACCCCAAACCCCAAACCCCCTAAACCCGAGAGGACCGGAGCGGGCTCGAACGTGCCAGTTTCGCCTCTGGCCGCTTACCTCAGACTGTTCTTGGGTTTAGGGTTTAGGGTTTAGGGTTTAGGGTTTAGGGTTTAGGGTTTAGGGTTTAGGGTTTAGGGTTTAGGGTTTAGGGTTTAGGGTTTAGGGTTTAGGGTTTAGGGTTTAGGGGGTTAGGGTTTAGGGTTCAGGGTTCAGGGTTTAGGGTTTAGGGTTTAGGGTTCAGGGTTTAGGGTTCAGGGTTTAGGGTTTGCGGGGGCCGGGCATGGGTTTAGGGTTTAGGCATGGGTTAGGAAGTGCACGCCATGCAGAGTGGCAAGTGTTGCAGCGAGGAATACACTTTGAAAGCATATTTGTAGACGGGTAGTTCTCTTGATTAGGTTCCCTCTTCTTAATCCCATTATATGACATATATACATACACATTTTTACGTACATAGTACAGCACCCTTTTCATAAGGACCCCCAAAAGGGGACCCCAATTTAGATAACTACCCATACATAACCTTTTTTTGAGCTGCATCTGGAGTAGTTGTTGCCCTCATGCCAAGAGCCTTCGTTTAGGGTTTAGGGTTTAGGGTTTAGGGTTTAGGGTTTAGGGTTTAGGGTTTAGGGTTTAGGGTTTAGGGCCCCTGCACCCCAGGCCACCATGCAAGTGCTCGAGGGCTGCATGGGGCTTCAGGGCTTTAGGGTGGGCTTTGGGGTTCAGGATTCAGGGTTGCGGTTTAGGAAATCAGGGTTTAAGGTTTCGGGTTTAGGGTTTGGGGTGGATGACTGCTGCATCATGGCTCCTCACCACCATGGGCGAGGTCATGCGAGGTCGAAAGCTTTCGCAAAGTCGTGCGCGAAAGAACGGTGCACAACTTCAGCTTCTTCGATATTATTTCTGGTGTCTGCAGCAGACCCCAAAACCGCGAGACCTGCTTCAGAGTTCCTGTTGCTTGTTTACAAGAAATATCGAGTTTTTTTGGGGGAACAGGTCGTTGATCTACCAAGTATCTATCCGCATCCCAATGAGCCGATGGCTCTAAATGTGAGGGGAAAAAACGCATGCGATGTGCAGACTCACAATAGTCTAGGTCACTAGAAGTTTCCGGAAACCTCATAATCAACCCGAAAACACCTGGCAGTTTAGTCACCTTTTAAGCCCTATAAACCTGCAACACACTTCACCATTGTCTCATCGGCTATCTTCGCCTAACTTGTGAAAGCGCGCGCTCGCAGCTCCCTAAACCAACAACCTAAATCCTAAACCATGAACCCTGAACCCTATCCGATACCCTAAGCCCTAAACCCCGAATCCTGAACCCTCAACCCTCAACGCTGAACCCTGAACCCTGAACCCTGAACCCTGAACCCTGAACCCTAAACCCTAAACCCCAAACCCTAATCCCTAATCCCTAAACCCTAAACCCTAAACCCCAAACCCCAAACCCTAATCCCTCATCCCTAAACCCTAAACCCTAAACCCTAAACCCTAAACCCTAAACCCTAAACCCTAAACCCTAAACCCTAAACCCTAAACCCTAAACCCTAAACCCTAAGCCCTACCCCCGCCCTCATGCCGAAGGCTCAAGCTGCGGTCGTGGACAACCGGCGCCAGATTGCGCCGCAGTGCCTAGGATGAAAGACATTTAGGGTTTAGGGCTTAGGGTTTAGGGGTTTAGGGGTTTAGGGTTTTGGGGTTTGGGGTTTAGGGTTTAGGGTTTGGGGTTTAGGGTTTAGGGTTTACGGTTTAGGGTTTGGGGTTTAGGGTTTAGGGTTTAGAGGGTTTAGAGGGTTTAGAGGGTTTAGAGGGTTTAGAGGGTTTAGAGGGTTTAGAGGGTTTAGAGGGTTTAGAGGGATTAGAGGGTTTAGAGGGTTTAGAGGGTTTAGAGGGTTTAGAGGGTTTAGAGGGTTTAGAGGGTTTAGAGGGTTTAGGGGGTTTAGAGGGTTTAGAGGGTTTAGAGGGTTTAGAGGGTTTAGAGGGTTTAGAGGGTTTAGGGGGTTTAGGGGGTTTAGAGGGTTTAGGGCTATTTCCCAAGCTGTGTAATATAGGGCCTTAATAATTAGAATAGGGTTTTGGGGCTTATTATAGAAGATCTATATAGGGACGATAAGAGAATACTATGAGTAATTATTCCGACCCCTATGTTAGGTGTACTTGAAGGTTTGGGTTTAAGGGGTTAGGGGTGGAAAGGGGTTTGGAGGGGTTTGGGGGTTTAGGGTTTTAGAGGTTAAGGGCTGGGGCGAAAACAGCAAAGTAATGCCGACCCGTGGAATCAGCAGATATGAGTCCTAGCACTATTGTATGTACTTGCCATTCAGGAACGACCAACAGCTCTGTTTTCCGGAAGTTGCCCAGATACAAGTCCAGCCTTTTAACCGTCAGGGTTGGGCTTAGGAACTCTGTATGTTTATACCTACGTATAAACAAACATAGTTCTATCTATGTATGTATCTATCTATTTCTATCTATCTATATACATCTACCCCCCCCCCCCCCCAAGACCGAGAGCCTAAGAGGTATGGCGTTTCAGCTGAGGAGGCGCCTTCCGGGGGACCAGGGTTTAGGGGTTTAGGGTTTTAGGGTTTTAGGGTTTTAGGGTTTCAGGGTTTTAGGGTCTCAGGGTTTAAGGGTTTAAGGGTTTTAGGGTTTTAGGGTTTTAGGGTTTCAGGGTTTTAGGGTTTTAGGGTTTTAGGGTTTTAGGGTTTCAGGGTTTTGGGGTTTTAGGGTTTTAGGGTTTCACCGGGTCTTTTGGGGTTTTAGGGTTTTAGGGTTTCACCGGGTCTCAGTGGCCTCCTTTATTTGTGGGCCCTAAGGGCCCAGGGGTTGGGGGGGGAGGGGGGGCAGAGTGGGTTTAGGGTTTCTGCTCGAAATCCCACCGTGTGAGCCCTCTACAGTCCCTTAGGCCGAAGCCCACCAATCCCAGGCAACATCTGAGTCTTGCTATTCTGGGTGGCCGTTAAGGAGCTCACAGTAAGTCAGAACTTCTATTTTATGGAGATGAAGTAAATGGTAAAGTTCCTTGATGTTGCTGGCTTGGTTTACCTTCCTTAACAGCAACCCTAAACCCCAAACTCTCAACCCTAAGTCCTAAGCCTAAACCCTAAACCCTAAACTCGAAACTCTCAACCCTAAGTCCTAACCCTGTT